CCCTGTCTGCTGTGTAGAACCATACTCCACACTACGGCAATAATGGATTAAACCTCTAAAGCAGGAAGTGAGCCCTGTCTGAATGATTTTTCTGTATAAATGATGCTGTGGTCATGGTGTCTCTTCACAGCAATGGAGCTCTGACTAAGACACTGCCCTGATTTCACAGCTTGCTAAGACTGCTTTCTTATACAACTCAGAACTACCAGCCCTTGGCAGCACCAAACACAGTGGGATGGGCACTATTTATAAATCATTAATCAGGAGAGTACCCTATACATTTACCCACAGACCAGTCTGACTCTAGCTGACCCAATCTCACCAGTACCTCTGAGACATCTCCCAACTCTCAAACACAAGACTTTTAACCAAACCTCAATCACCTTAACACTCAGTTTCCAGCCTGTGAAGGGCACACTCACATGCAAAATTCTGAAAGTCTGTCAAGTTTAAGACTGGAGAGATGGCTCAGCAGTTAAGAGTTCTGCTCTAGCAGAAGACCTGGGTTTGGCTCCAAGCACTAACATGACACAAAATTATCATTAGATCCTGGTGAAGGGCCTCTAATGGCCTCTCTAGTCTTCTATATACGTCAAACACCAAGTGATGAACACACACAGGGAAGCAAAACACTCATGCACATGAAGTAAACTTAGTAAATTAAAAATACCCATATCTCTTACATGTCACCATGGATAAAACAGTCAGAAGACATATGAATGACAATATGACAAATATCTGTAGCCAAAACTATAATTTTGTAATTAAAAGACTCAAAGAACTTGATCAAAGGAGAAAAATCCTATGACTCTAGACAAGAATTGTCTCAGTATTATCTCAGTACACACTCTGAGCTAGATTAAACAAATGTCCAATAAAGAATCTAACGATTTCTGCAGCGAACGACAGAAAACCGACGACGAAAGGTCATCATGAAGGGAAACATGAACAACACAGACTGAATAAACAGCACAGTGACACCACCTGACTTCAACACTTCCCCTACCCCTGCAATAAAGACTGCGCCGTCTGAGACAGAACACGGACACCCGCAGAACGTGAGAGAACACTTAGAACACAACCACAGTTAATGCTCGGTCAATTCTGACACCTGAGGAGGGAACCACAGCGGGTCTGTCTTCCTAACACACGGGACTGGACCACGGTGGCATCTACATGCGACTGCGTGGACAGCACAGACGTGATGACACCGGCGCAGAGTTAACTGCAGACGGGTCCTGCTCCTGCACGTCAGGTGCCAAGTGCGGAACTTCTAGACGACGCTAAAGAAAAGAATTGGCTGTGCCAGTCAGCAAACCCCTCTTCACAGACAGCAAAATCCGCGCATGCGCGTCGCTGAAGGATGAAAGGCAGTGTCCAAGCCATCTCGCGTTTCCCACGCCGTGCGCAGGCGCAGCCAGGGAACCTGTGGCACTGAGAGGTCCGGCTGCCACGTGGGAGGTGAAGGGAATTCAGGGCCCTCAGGTGAACCAACGGAACCACACCGGGCGCCGCGTCCCGCCGCCGGGTCCCGCACCCCGGGACAACGCCACACGGGCTCCCGCGATCCTCCCCGCGTGGGACGGCGGCCCCGCTCACCATGGCCCGGAGTCCCAGCTCGCCCGCTCTCCTCACAGCTCCGGGAAGCCGGTCAAAACAGCTTTCCTCAGATTCACAACGGAGGTAGTATGGCTGAAAGGAAGTGCCCGCCCTATTATGGCTAGAGGGTCTGTCTCGAGGTTCTGATTGGCTACTGAGGCCTGAGTGACAGGAGTGGCGTCCCTAAGTGACACTGTGCTACCCATATCCGGCTCCCACCTCAGGTCCAGAGCTGGCGCACGTCTTAAGACTGGCTTTACAGTAGAGCTTGCACTTCTCCTGCACTCAGTAGACACTTCCTCTTCTTCCTCCTGGGCAGAGAGTGTTAGATCTCAAACCGGGACAAAGAAATGCGGTGCCCATTTATCAAAACTGCTGTGTGCCAGGTTCTCTGAATATCTCAGTCCCCACCTATTACAATGTTGGCCTGCATGCCGGGCCCCTACCCTGAACGTTGATATATATATTATTATTTTAACGCTCTGTGTGCTCTTATAATTATGTGTGGACTTGAGAATTAGAAGGAATGCCTGTAATAGGATTGATATGTCTTCCCTTAAAGAACTTCTTACACTTTTACTACTGTAGGCTGGCTCGTTGTTGGTTTTATAGAAGTGCAAAGGTTTGTGTAAGAGAAAAGCACACTATAGACGCATTCACTGAGGACTGAGGAACTACCCAAGGAAATATAGAAAACGTATGAATGAAAATGTGCAGGGTGGTGTCTGTGGCTCACTGGGTGTTATACATTTGGTGTAATTCATTAGTACTCTTAGCTCTGAGGTTAACTGCCGCTGTATGACTAGGAGAGTAAAGGAGGGCAAATAAGACGTTTCTACACTATCCATGTGTGTATAAGGGGGTGTAGTACAGGGTTGATGTTACTGTTCTGGAGAGGTAAAAACTGGTCAGGTTAACGTGGCAGCTTCTTCATTCCCTTCTGCAAAACAAACCAGGGAGGTTACTGTGTGCATGAGTATGAGTGAGAAAGAAAAGACATGGACGGGTTTTAAACAGATGTTACGTTTCCAGTTGTGATGGGAATATAACAAGGAGTGAAGATGGGGCTAATGCAGTTTCTATTGCTGGCAATAATCCTACAATATACACTGAGTCAGAAACTATATGTAAGGGTTTATGAATTAACCATGATAGGTGAATCAGAACACAGTTCCGATTGTTGGACTGAGGGTGGCCTTTCCTTCAGCTGCACACTTTGTCTCTGTATTTCTGTAGTCCTTGATCCACAGCAGCTGCCTGTGGAGGGGAGAAGGTGGGACAACTTTCGTAATCAAACATTCAGTCCATACAAGGGAATCCCACATCTTGCTACCTAAAAAATGGTTCCCTAATCTTCTATGATAATTTACAAAATCTGAAGATCCACAGACTTCGCAATGGTCCTTGAAACACACTGCTAGTTACAGGTAGCACACTGCAGCAGGTGTTACATC